TACTTCGTTATTGTCAAAAAATGAGGAATTTCAAATAGTTAATTTGATACTAATATCGATATATTTTTGTCAAATTTCTATGATATTTTCAAACATATATTTTATTCAAAAATAAAAACATCATCGCTTTCTCAAAATCACATAAAACCATATTATAACATCGACTGAGATAAAAAATAAAATGAGATTTTAAAATCACGATGTATCTCGCTGCATTGCGCGAGTACGCTTCTAGTATATATATATATATATATATATATATATATATATATATATATATAATAACATTAAATTTGAAAATATCTGTTTATGGGCTTATATTTGTCAAGAAAAAGGCCCACTGTAAAAAAAGGTCAATACTATGTTATCTATCTATACCAATGATCTGGAAAATATATGTCAAAAACTATATCAGTGTAAAATTGTTCGATTGATGAAAATTTAATACATTATAAAACCATCGAATGGAACATATCCAATCGTCGTATTTATTTTTCTAAACAAACAATCCTTCTTGTGGTCTCAAAAACACTGTGATTTCTAATAATCAATGATTTATGGTCATTTGTATGTTCAAAAATCGTCAAACAAAAAACAGATGTTAACCGTGCAATCTGGTTGGTTTTGGTATGGAAAATTTGGTGACCAACGTTGTATGGTCAAGTTTAGGTTCGATATTTAAAGTATCTCAAATTATTCATACATCCAGTACAAATTCCTATTTAGAATTCTTACCTCGTTGCTCTTACACCATGTGTCGACCATCAAGTACTAAATAAACCAGCTTCTATTTGATCTTTTTTTATATGTGCAATTTGCATGATTGTATGAGGTTTTTTGGGTTGTATTCGAATGTGTTGCATGACGATGTGAGTTTTGCAAAGGACCTGGCATGGTCGCATAGGCTTTGACATGACTATTTCGGAGTTGTGTAGCATGTTTGTGGCCATGTAACTGACACAAGCATGCTACTTTGAGGCAGGGACGTTCCAATCTTTTTGGAGGTCCTGTTACATCCAAAACTTTTGATTAGATTGCATAAATGAGACAACAAATCACTTATGTTAAGAACAAAAATGGKCAAAATCTAAAACGATTAACAATCTGAAACTAAACCTAAACCATTAATGATTTGAACCTAAAATCAAACAATTAATGGTTTGAGCCTAAATAATTTCGGCTATAGTTTTACACAGGTCGATAAAAAAACCTTAAACACATGTAAATTTGGGGCCCAAAATTTCGAAGGCCCTGTTCAAAATACCACATTTAACATGCTAAGGGACGACCCTGCTTTGAGGGGCACGACTGTGCATCGACTTATTGAGCCCAAAAAGTGAATTGTTCACGTCATATGTACTGATTAGGCATTAATTGAATGCCTTTATTGTAATGTATATGTGTTAATTTGGACTCAAATATAAAATCGTTACAGTTAGGTGAGTTTCATGTGTTTTTTCACATATAATTCATGGGACACTGTATTTTATTCTTAATTTTTGAATCGTCGAGTATGCTAATATTCATTGTCTTTGAAGTTAAAATTGAGAATTATGAACCACATGGGTGGTGGCTGATTGATTTGAGTCTGGCTCCAAAGGTCAAAAGTACCAGGAGGTCTCAGGTTCAAATCCAAGAAGGAATAAAAATTCCCTTGTGGCCATGGAGGTTCGAATGCGGTGACTCCGGGCTACCTGCAAAACAGGTGGTCGTTCTGGGATTAGTCGTCTCGCATAGCGGGTTGGATATCCAGGTTAATAAAAAATGAGAATTATGGGGGGAAAATATGCATTCACGATGCTTACCAGGACGATAACGTTGCAGGGTGATTAACTCACAAAGCGAGAATCGACATAGACAGTTAATTATTAGTTAAATTTGTTTATTAAAGGTGTTAATTATATTTAATATTATCAAGATTTTATAATAAGTATCCATATACATATAATAGGCTAGATTTTTTTAAATTCTTTTAAATAATACGATTATTTTTAAAGGGGTAACTTTTCAAATATAAGATAGATTATGGGTTCGATCCTAGACCCTCTCGTTAGCCTCAACTATTGAGTGAACTCAAAAAAAGTCTCTTCATATTATGGACTGTTTGGCAGTTGTTGAATGTTTTAGTGCATGATGATTAAGTGGTTAGAATGATTAAGAGAATCTTATGATATAGTGTAAAATGAAATATAATTGTTTGGTAATTGTTTACAATGAAAGGAAAAGTCCAAAAAAACCCAACGGACTTTACTGTTTGGAACGATTAAGTCCTTGGACAATTTTTTGGAACAAATAAATCCTTGGACATTCTAGAACCTGTTAAATAAGTCATTAGACATTACAAAACCTGTTAAATAAGTCCTTGGACTTTTTAACATCTGTTAAATACATTTTGTTAGTGGAAAAAGTCCAAAAAGACCAATGCACTTTCATATGTTGAACGATCAAGTCCTTAAACATTTTTGAACGAAAAAAGTGCTTACATTTATAAAAAAAACAAATATATCATTCTCATTACTCTTCACAAAACATACAAAAGTTGTATCCAAAGCATAATAATCTGTATACAAAATTTGGGCATAATTTTACCAAAAGTCAAACCAAAAGACGTAACAAAAGTTGAACCAAGAAAAAGCTAACAATTGCGCCATTATAGAGTTACTCTGCAGGTTAGTGTTTCCTTGAAGCTCCATTTCTTGTACATTTTGCAGTTTTATGTGAACCCCATTGTATATTTTGCTCCTTCATCAATATGGATTTTGGCAATTTTTCCTTGACGCTTGGTATTTGCAACTGAATCTTGAGTGGATTTTGGCAATTTTTCTTTCATTCACCAATATGGATCAGCACGAGTGGATGATGGCTAACAACTCCCACTACATGACAAGCAATTTGAAAAAAAAAATGGTGACATGAATTGAAGCACTAACGAAATACCAAACCAAAAAATAAATTAATCATCCAAGTGAAATCCAAACAACCCAACTGAATCTTGGCCCTTAGCAACTTGACCCTTAAAGTTCAGAATCCCGATCTGCAATCAAACAACATCTAAATAGAGAATAAACCATGTATCCGAAATACCATGACCAACCTTCATAGAAGAAACCAAGTGAAAAAATGGAGTCCAACCAGCAAGTGAACCACTCAACCAACTATTAGATCGAGTCTAACTAGCCAAACCAACCATAGTTATTAGTCCATCCATCAAGCCTGTTAGTTCTTAAGGACTAGGGGTGTAAACGAGCTACTCGAGCTCATTTATCTCCAGCTCGAGCTTAATAATTATCGAGCTCGAGTTGATCTCGAACACAAAATAAAACTCACTTAACTTAACTAGTCAAGCTCTATAACAYCAATGTTCGACTCGACTTGTTCGAGAGCTCGATTAAACTTTATGAGTCGAGTTGMACCGAGYTGAGCCATTCGAGCATACACCTTTTCGAGCCAAACATATTTACATGTTTACAAATTATATAATCAAAATATAAATCATCGAGCTTGAGTGAATAAACAAGTTAATCGATCTCGAATTTGATGTTAATGGACAAGAAACCTTCTTCATTCATTAGGTTTTAACAAATGTAAGATTTATATGCAAAAATGTTATCATATGATTAAACAATTTTGGAGCAAACCTGATTAGACGAGCGGAGACATGGTGGCGACGGAGTGGTGCGGCGGCGACAGGGGCGTCGACGGGGGTGGTGCGGCGGCGACAAGGGTGGTGCGGCGGCGGCAAGGGTGGTTCACCGGCGATGGGAAGAGGGAGACGATGGTGTGTGGGCATTAAGCGGCGAGAGGGATACGGGAAGGAGACGGGAGGGAGCAGTGGTGACGAGAGGAAGAAGATGAGGGAATATGGGTAGTCATATTTTTTAGGGTTTTTTTAGTTTTTTTTTTTTTAAAAATCTAAGATTTACCTTCTATTCAGGTTACAAGTTACATTTTTAAACAATGAGGATCTATTTAATATGTTTTAAAAAGTCTAAGGAGTTATTTAATAGATTCTAAAATGTCCAAGAATTTATTTGTTCTAAAAAATTGTCCAAGGACTTAATTGTTCCAAACAATAAAGTCTATTGGGTTTTTTTGGACTTTTCCCTACAATGAATTAGGACGCTAAATGGTTAAGGGAGGGTCATGATACAAAACCATTCAGAGGATTTTAGAACCTTTAAGAGACATATTTTTTTACCAAAAAAAATTCACCTTTTAACGATTCAAATGCTGTCTCTTAATAAAACTATTAAGAGGTAAACAAACAACTCTTTAGTGTCTTAGGAGACTCTGTGGGACCTATTGATATTGTATGTAATCAATTTTTATCCAAATATGATTATTTTAAAATTAATTTAAAATTAAAAAAAAAACATGTTAATTTAAAGACCCACCCCCCGAAACATGTTAGACCAACCACACCCAACCCCGAAACCGAACCTTAATTGGAAACCCACGTGGCTCAATGGGCTGCACCCCCAGAGCCTTTGGTGGTCCAACCAAAATACACATACAAACGCACAAAAACACACAGTGAAGATTTGATACCAAATTATTAATGGATCTCAAAGTCCATATCCAATACGCTTTTATGTTTCTTTCTTTCTTTCTTTTACAAACACCCTTATCATCCATCTTCACCAGCAAACCCCAATTTAATAGTCCAATTCGATTTATCGGGTTCAAGCCCAATCTCAGAACCTTCTCTCTCCTCGAATAACCCCTCTCTCTCTCTCTCTCTCTCTGGATCTCGATTTCCTCGATTTAGATCGGTGTTTTGGGCTGCTACACCTGTTATAATCGGTATAATTATAAACCTTTCTCTTAATTTATTGTTTTCTGAATCTTTTGCGACCTCTTCTGCTTCTGTTTGTTGGTTTTACTTTGATGATCCTGTGATGTTCGACGAATTGGTCCATTGATTGATGGGTTTTCTGTGTGTTGAATTACTTGAATTCGAACAGGAGATTGTTTGCTACTGTTTAGTTTAGTTTGTTGTTTGATTGATTGATTGATCGATCGTATGGATTTCTGAATGTTGTCTTGACTTGTTTATGTGGGCTTATGTTTCTGAGATTTATTTGGAGCCCCAAAATTGATCGAAAAGAGAAAACCCTAGATCTGTTTTTGGGTGAACTAGTTTCAGCCCATGGATGTTGTGAAATGTCATATTTGACCTTGCCATGTTATTTCTTACCTCTCAATAAAGAAAAGGACTTATCTGTCTGCCCATGAAGGGTATTTTTGGGAATCCAAGTGAAGGTGGACTAAAGAGGAAGGCCCAATTGGCCCCCTATTAAAAGTATGATTGAAATTTTAGAATTGAGTTCGGTAAACTGTAAAATATGTCCATATCAGATTAACCGAGTGCTTAATCATTAAGCAGGAAACAAACACAAGGTGACTGTTTGGCAATTGCTGAATGGTTTGGTGCAGAATGATTAAATGGTCAGAATAATTAAGAGGCTCTCATGATATAGTGTAAAATGAAATATAATCATTTGGTAATTGTGTATAATGAAATTAGGGGTTTTAATGGTTGAGGGAGATCCATGATACAAATTCATTCAGATGGTTTTGAAATCATTAAGAGGCAGACTTTTTTTTTCGAAACAAGATTCACCTCTTAACGGTTCAGAAGTTGCCTCTTAATGGAACTATTAAGAGGTGAACAAACAACTATGGTGGCTAAACAAATAAGTCTTTCCTGCCATTAATCTGCAAACGAACAACTTCTTAGCGAATTAGTCTCGATAACTGAAAAAGTGTAAATAATTGAAAGTAACGCTTACTTCTCAATACTACCCTTATTTATGATTTGAAGAAATTTGTTATTCCATCTGTAATTAAGGGTAAATTTGTAATTTAATTAATTAAAAGTGTAATTATGATAAATTTCTAAAATTTTGTGGTTTTTTCATTGTTGACATGTATTTTGAGACGAGGAGTGCTATTTTCCGGTCTAATTCGTTTGTAACTTGAATATTTATCGACTTTTCTACCTAAAGCAGGTGTGCGCTTCGTGACTCGACATGGAGACCGTTCCTAATGAGAATAACGCGTTGGTTAACTTAGACCTTCAGCCGGTGTTTTTAGACTCACCGAACAATATGGAAGCAACACCTAACAAACGTAGAAAGAAGAAATCGATTGTTTGGGAGCACTTCACGATCGAAAATGTGGGTGCGGGGTGTCGAAGGGCTTGTTGTAAGCAATGCAAGCAATCGTTCGCTTACAGTACCGGTAATAAAGTTGCGGGCACGAGTCATCTGAAACGCCACATTGCAAAGGGAAGTTGCCCGGTAGTGTTGCGGAATCAGGAGCGGGACCTGTCGTCCCCGTTTAGCGCGCCACCGAAGATCGGTAGTAACGCCATGAATCCTGCCATTGAACCACCAAAGCGACGTTACAGAACTGCCACCGCCCCTTTCTTTGCGTTTGATTCCGACCGGTGCCGCCATGAGATAGCTCGAATGATCATAATGCATGATTACCCGCTTCATATCGTTGAACACCCGGGGTTCATGGCGTTTGTGCAGAACCTTCAGCCGCAGTTCGATATGGTGAACTTTAGCACGGTTCAAGGCGATTGTGTGGCGACTTATCTTAGAGAAAAACAGAGCATTCAGAGATTAATCGAAGGAATGCCCGGCCGGATTTGTCTTACACTCGACCTCTGGAATTCATGCCAAACCACCGGATACGTTTTTGTTACAGGACAGTTTGTTGATAGCGACTGGAAGATTCACCGGAAACTTCTGAACGTTGTGATGGAGCCGTACCCCGAGTCTGATTCAGCTTTCAGCCATGCCGTTTCTTCGTGTCTTTCCGATTGGAATATGGAGGGCCGGTTATTCTCGCTAACGGTAAACCAGCCGTTGAGTGAAATTGGGATTGATAGTCTCCGAGGGTTGTTATCAGAAAAGAACCCGAATATTCTCGGTGGTCAGTTGTTGCTCAGAAATTGCCTTGCTCGTTCTCTAAGCGGGATTGCCCAAGAAGCGCTAAAGGCGAATCACGAAACCGTCAAGAAAGTTCGAGATTGTGTTAAGTACGTGAAAACCTCGGAATCTTTAGAGGAGAAATTTCTCAGCCTCAAGCAACAACTTCAAGTTCCGAGCACGAAAATGCTAGCGCTTGATGATCAAACTCAATGGAATACAACTTATGAAATGTTATTAGCGGCTTCGGAGTTGAAAGAGGTGTTTTCGTGCTTAGATACTTCAGATCCCGATTACAGTAAAGGCCCGACTGGTGAAGAGTGGAAACTCGTCGAAAATTTGTGCACGTATTTGAAGCTTCTTTTCGACACTGCAATTCTGCTAACTGCATCGAGCATACCGACAACAAATACGTTCTTCCACGAAGCTTGGAAGATTCAGCTCGAGCTAGCAAGGGGAACAACAAGTGACGATCTCGCCATCAGCCGCCTTACGAAACCGATGCAAGAGAATTTCGATAAGTACTGGAAGAGCTGCTGTCTGATCTTGGCAATCGCCGTGGTGATGGACCCACGATTCAAAATGAAGCTCGTCGAGTTTAGTTTCACGAAGATTTACGGCGACGATGCTGCGACTTATATCAATATTGTTGACGAAGGGATCCATCAGCTTTTTCTCGAGTATGTGGCGCTGCCATTGCCGCTCACCACCGCTTACCTCGAGGAGGCAAATGGCATGCCTGGGGCGGTCGGAGATGTGAAAATGGAGGACGGGATGACGGGGATGAGCAACGGGCTCGGGTTGACTGATTTCGACGTGTATATCATGGAGACGACGAGCCAACAATCGAAGTCCGAGCTCGATCAGTATTTGGAGGAGTCGCTTTTGCCGAGAGTCCATGAGTTTGATGTGGTCGGGTGGTGGAAACTGAATAAGGTGAAGTACCCGACGCTATCGAAGATGGCTCGGGATATTTTGACGGTTCCGGTGTCGACGGTGGTTCCGGAATCGGTGTTCGAGACGGGTCGGAAGGAGATGGATCGGTATCGATGCTCGTTGAGGGCGGAGACGGTGGAGGCGTTGGTGTGTGCTAAGGATTGGCTTCGTGGTGAAACCATAGATACAGCAAATGCCATGATTAAGATGGAGTTTCCAATTTAAGTTAATATTAATACATATGTATTAGTAGTAGAAACTGGTAACATTGTATTGGAACCTTTATTGTACAATCTGAAGGAATTAAAATTATGAATTGGTGAATGGTTTGGTGCAGAGTAATTAAGTGGTCAGAATAATTAAGAGGTTCTCATGGTATAATGCAAAATAAAATATAATTATTTGGTAATTGTGTATAATAAAATTAGTGCTTTTAATGGTTAAGGGAGATTCATGATTCAAAATCATTTTGAGGGTTTTAGAACCATTAAAAGGCAAGACTATTTTTTTGCCAAACAAGATTTATCTCTTAATGGAACTATTAAGAGATAAATAAGCAACCCCTAAGGGAATCAATCACCACCTATGAGGAATCATCCTCTCTCATCTAGTTTGGATTTTCCAAGCATATTATCTGTTACGTTTTATTTATTTGTCTTAAATTGCTTTAATTTCATTATTGATTTGTTTTGTTTACCTTAAATTCTAGGTTTGCTCTAAATTGATTTTATTTCATTATATATTTGCCATAAATTCTATATTTGTTTTAAATCTAATTGCATTAAATTTTCGTAGTTATTTTTCATTTGCTCAAACCTTAGTGTTATTTTAATTTGGTTAGAAGTCTTAGATACAAAAAGGAGATGCCATGGACAAATCACACCGCCACAGGTGTCACGCCATCGGTGCCATAATGACGTGCCTATGATACCTCCATAGGTGGTTAGTAGCTCGTTATACCATAAACTATGAAAGTATATCACAACACATGTGACCACATTCAGATGAATAGAAAATCATACTAATTACAAAACGAATCAAAAAGGGTATTTGAGTGCACAAAAAGATTGACCGCTCCCCTTAAAAGCTTTATTTTTCTAACACACTAATTTGAGACGCTTACGAATCGAAGAGAAGTTTAACTGATACGAGTGTAGTAGACCATTAACATAACTTCATATATGAACTTGCCCTGGGATTAGTAGGCTCGCATAGCGGGTTGGATATCCAGGTTAATAAAAAAAACTTCATATATGAACCTTTTCAAAAGATTTGAAAACAAAAACGCATGGCGAATCAAATCCAAATGTAGACTAAGAATTTCACAGTCACAACTTTTCGAAATCGAGTCGTACTAGTTTAAGCACTTTACACGTTTAAAAATCCAACATTTTATCATGCTTCCAGTAGGTTCTGGAAAACTATATTTAAACAGAAGTTTTAGACAAACGTCTTGTAATTCTAAAGAATCAGGAATGAACTGAATCGAATTCAAAATAGAGTTTACATAAATTTATGAAAACAGTTGGGCTATTCTAGTCTAAAACCAGACCGGTTTCGAAAAACCCAGATTTTAGACACCTTAGCCCAAAACTACAGTTTGCTCGTGTGACAGCAAGTTGTAGTAGACATATCCAGGTTTCCAAAACCATATCATATGCATCAATCGAATAACCAAATGATTTATTATGCTTTTTACAAATAACACGAATTTTTCAGAGTGAAATTCAACAGATTTATAAATGGAGTTCGATGTTTTTAGTATATTCAAATCTCAATTCATCATACGTAAAACCAAAACAAAATTCACCCAAAAATAGACATGATCAAACTATCAACAAATCAAACGGAAACACAATCAACTTGGTGGAAGAAAGAGCACATCGTACATAAAATCGAGTGAAAGAAATTGAAAGAAAAGTAAGGAAACCGTACACGTATGTAACAAATCACGTAAACGTAAACGGATTTAACACATATACAACGAATCGAGTAAACACAAAGGAGATGAACATAAATAATATGTACCTTAACCAATGCCTTCAACGAATAAAAAGTCCTTTAAATCACGATCAAGACTTTCAACACGAATACGACTTGAAACCTAAAGAATATTGCTTGAAACTCTAAAGGTTTAACAATAATTCTCGTTTTTCTTTAATTAATACCTTATAAATTACGGGATATTACATCACTCATTGTTATGATGAGTAGATTTAAAAAAAAATGTTCTAATAAAAAATAATTTGAAAGTACATTGATGTAATAAGAAAAACCGAAAATAATAAATAAAATTAGATTGTTATTTCATGCATTTAAAACGGTCGTTGTTGATTGACATTTCTTTTGGTTCAATCCATTTCATGTAATATTATATCAACGTTTAGGCCTGAAACTTCGGTCCAATTATTAACATGCTCTATGCTCACAGATCTCTAAAATATTTAAACCAGTGAAATTGGGTCGGAAATGGGCTAAGCTCAGTGGAACCTGATCTAACACGACAATAACCCGATTTCTAGCTTTCTTCTTTTTCAATATATGTGTGCTTGGCACGACCAGGGCCAGTCCTGGTCGTAGGCTCCGGGGGCGACGGTCCAGGGAAGCAAAAAGCCTAAGGACATCAATCTTCTATAACCCAATATACATGTATAGGTTCAATTTTGATTTGGGCCTTAAAAAATGTTACCGTTACCGGTCCACTAATCTCAAGCGGCCTTGATTCGTCCTCCTCCACCCTCGACTCTCACAGTCTCGCCTTGCTCTGTCGCTCACGGTCACAGACGAACAGTTTTCTCAAATCAATGAATCACCACTCTTCTAAACTCACGATTCACGAATCACGAATCGAAATCTCGCTCTCTGCCTCTCTCGAGTCTCGACTCTCGACCGTCTCTCGGCCTCTCGCTCGCCTCTCGCATCTTGTGACTTGAGAGGTTAGGCCGTTAGGGTTATTTACTTTACTTATTTTTTTATGTTTCTAATTCTTGTTTAATTGCAAAATCTAAGTATGATATGAAGCTATGAAATTGGCCCTTTGTTGTGGTTTGTCATTTGTGTTTCTAGTACTGTTAGTAATTATGTTTCTAATTCTCGCTCTATGCCTCTCTCGAGTCTGTTATTGTATCGTGTATCACTGTATATCTGTATGTATAATGTTAAATTGTTAATTTATCATGTATGCCTAAATCCTAATTGAAAAACCTAAGTATGACCGATTGACTGTATGAAGTTGTATGTATGCGGTATGCCTAATTTCCTACTTACAAATTAGTCTAATGCTGCGTGTATACTCCTCTTGTTCCTTCTGGAAAAAAACAACCATTTCTTGTTAGATTTTCCATTCCTTTCAATTTGCTCAAGCATTAAAATTTTTACTTTTTAGGGCTGTTTAGAAGCTTTTTAGGAGCTCTTTTGAAGTGGGTTAGTATAGGACAAAGGCTTAACATCCTATGCTTATGTTAGTATAGGACAAAGGCTTAAAACAACTAGGTTGCTTAATCGTTCCACTTTCTTGGCAATTTTACAACACGAAAGTCATATTGAAAATGTTTTATTAGAATATATTGATGATTTGACTTTGAAATCTTTATCTGCCACTAGGGCTGTAAATGAACCGAACGAACACGAACGGAGGCTTGTTCATGTTCGTTCGTTTAACTTAACCGAACGAACACGAACGGTAAACGAACAAAAATCTTCGTGTTCATGTTCGTTTGTTTAGAAATAAGGTGTGTTCGTGTTCGTTTATGTTCGTTCGTTAACATGCTAAACGAACATAAACGAACGAACATAAACAAGGGGCTAAACGAACATAAACGAACATGTTTAACAAACATAAATAAATATTATTTGAATTCAAAGTAAATAAATAAAAGATAATATATTAAATTTAATATATAAACGAACATAAACGAACGAATATAAACGAACGTAAACGAACGGTAAATGAACGAACGTTCATAAACATAAATGAACGAACGAGAATCTTGTTCATGTTCGTTCGTTTAAATAAACGAACCAAAAAATTGTTCATGTTCGTTCATCTATTAAATAAACGAACTTCCCGCCGAACGGTTCACGAACGGTTCGTTGAACGTTCGGTTCGTTTACAGCCCTATCTGCCACTCTATGGGAAAGTCATATTGAAAGTGTTAAAGCTACCAAAACTCAAGTTGGCCAAATTAGAGTTGCTTTAGTACAATTAGCTCAAGTAAGTGAGGATGGAAGAGTGTGTAGGGAAGCCGAGTCTTGGTTAATGGTGAGCTTTCAAGTTTTGAGTTTATTGTAAGTTTGGTTATTTGGCATGAAATTATATATAAAATTAATTTAGTTAGCAAGAGGTTACAGTCTAAATATATGCTTCTTGATATTGGAATACAAAATCTAAAGGGATTAGTTGAATATTTGAAAAATATAGGGAAAATGGGTTTACATGTGCTATTCGTGAAGAAGCTTTTCAAAGTTAAAGTTGTTGAAGTCATATATACGGTCTACCATAAGTCAAGAAAGATTGAACGGGCTAGCAATCTTGAGTATTGAGAGTAAGTTTTTAGCTAATATTAGTTATGACGAAATGATAAATATTTTTGCTTCAAAAAACGCAAGAAGACATCGTTTTAGGTGAATGGTGATGTATTTTATATTTTGTTACACGGGGTTTTGGTTTATGTCCCCCCCATTCCATCATTTTTGTTATATTTAAAATAAATTGGCGTGGGGATGAGCCGCCTAGATTGACTAGGTTCCAAACCCCTTCAATTATGCAAATAGTTTATTTTGGTTTTTATTTACACATATAAATGACATTTTTTTTGACTTTCCGTCGTGGGCATCCAAAATCTCAGGGCCGGCCCTGGGCAATGGACACGACAAATGTCTCCTTAAGCGGCTATTCAACCTATTCTTAAAATATTTTATGCACTAAAAAATATTAAATACATATATTACATTATGTTCTTGAATTTAGAAAAAAATAAGGGTGCGTTTGGTTTGCAGGAATGTTTTTGAGAGATTTGATTCCTATGAGGGATTTGGATTCCATGGGATTTGGATTGGATTGGATTGGATTTGAAATTCATTCCTCTGTTTGGTTTGTAGGATTTGTAGTATTGGGTCTCCTTACTCAAAAGAGCTAGCAACTGTCTATGGTCTGTACAGGATTCCTCAATGAAGCAAATTATCGAGAACTACAGAAATCGAAAAGGGGAAAAGGGATTCACCTGTTGAGTGATGGGAGAAGGCGGTGGGCGACAGAGACGGTGGGCGACGGAGACGGTGAGCGACGACCACCGACGGAGGCGGCGACGGAGACGAAGGGCGACGAAGGGCGACGGAGACGGTGGGCGACGGAGACGGTGAGCGACGACCACCGACGGAGGCTGCGACGGAGACGAAGGGCGACGACGACGGAGACGAAGGGAGATGAAGGGCGACGGAGACGGAGACGAAGGGAGACGATGTAAGCTGTGGGAGAAGATGGAGACGAGTTAGGGCAAGCATGTGTGCTGTGGGAGAAGATGGAGACGAGTTAGGGCAAGCATGTGTGCTGTGGGAGAAGATGGAGACGAGTTAGGGCAAGCATGTATGATGTGGGAGAAGATGGAGACGATGTAAGGGAATGGATTTCAAATCCCGTGTATTTTCAAAGGATTTCCAAATCCAGCGTTTAAGGGATTTCAAAGGAATCCATGGATTTGAAATCCTCACAATCCAGCAAACCAAACACAGGGTTGGAATGGATTTCAAATCCAAATCCCTCCAATTCCTGCAAACCAAACACGCCCAAGAATGGAGTCGGATAAAAAATATTGGAAATAAAAAAAATGAAATTTGCGTAACTGAAAATGGGAAAACGTATAAAAAAATTTAAATTACACATTAATATGCGACATCTATTATAACATTATAAACAAAAGGATTGAGTTCCGATGAGAAGGAGAGTTAAGGTGAAAAGTAAGAAATGATCTCTACCATTGGATGAACATTAGGATGAGATGCACCGAAATGTACCAGATCAATCTCTATATCAACCGCGATTCACAGGTGGATTTGAGAATTGAGATTAGAGATGATCAAGGGTTTATATCCTTTTTTTCGCTCCTCACCTTAAATCTCTTTTCACGCAATTGTTTGCCATAAACAAAAATATTAATATTTAATTCTATATGTATGTTGTAATGGTTAACGATAAATGGATGATGAAAAGCTGTTTATCCATACCATATCCACTAATATTTCAGATAATCGAGTAATGGATAAGTGAACAAATGCCCATTTTTTGATCCATACCTTTAATCGGCTAAACCTTAATCCTCTTTCTCTCACTCTCGCTCTCACGTCTGTCCACCGACTGTTTGACAGTTGCTGAATGGTTTGGTGCAGAATGATTAAGTGGTCAAAATGATTAAGAGGCTCTCACGATATAGTACAACATGAAATCTAATTGTTTGCTAGTTGTTTACAATGAAACTAGGATGATGAATGATTTAAGAAGACACATGATACAAAATTATTTAGATGGTTTTAAAACCATTGAGAGACATATTTTTTTTGTCAAACAAGATTTATCTCTTAAAGATTTAAAGATAGCCTCTTAATGAAATTATTAAAAGGTAAAAATCTGGATCAGTTAGAGATGATTTTATTTTTAAAAGGTCTGAGCGAATCTAAGGGTGCGTTTGGTATGCAGACTATATGGGACGAGACAAGAAAAAAAAATAGTCCCATATTTAGCATGCCATGAACAAAAATTACATGGGACAAGATAAGATCATTTTAAAATCTGATGGAACAAAAGTGGATGATTTTTGTTCCAACAAAAAAGACGAACAACACGAAGTAAATGCACTATCTAACCCTTAAAATCCAATAGAAAACTAAACCCTCCTTTCACCATCGTCTCTTTCACACCCACATTTCCACGACAGAGCTCTTCCACATTGCCTCCTTCCACACCGCCTCCTTCCACCGTCTCCTTCCACTGCCTCCTTCCACCGTCTCCTTCCACTGCCTCCTTCCACCGCCTTCTTCCATATCGGTATGATTTCTGTTTTGGCATCGATTTCTTTTTGCTGTATCGATTTCATTATTGCGATTCTTTGTTGCGTCGATTTCTTATTTCTTTTTGACTGTAAACCCTAACAAAATCGATTCCACATCGTTCTTCTCTTGGATTCTTGATACTGAAAAGTTTCTTTTTTGAAACTTCAGGGTTCATTTAGCTTAAGCTTACAATGCTCTGAAAAGGTAGATAAATGTATGTTCCTTTTATCATTTCATCATACCCAAAGCAAAAGTAGGTCGAATTGGTTGGGCCTCTGCCCTGGAATGTTGAGTGAAATAGGTGGTTGASTCCTTATTGAATTGACCATTTTGATACTGTWGGTCTRGCCTCAGGACCCTTATCACTTATGTTTAGGAGGTGCTACTGGTTACAATTGCAATAAATAGGTACAATCATAATTGGCATTTTTCAGATTATATATTTCGCTGCTTTCAGTATCATGGTTCAAGAGTCGAAAAACAGGAGAACAATCATTATATGATACAAAATAACATTGAACTACATTTAAGAGTAATATGGTCATTTTAACAGTTTTGTCATGTCCTGTCCTAGTTGTACCAAACATGGGACAGACAATTAGTCCCGTCCTGTCCCGTCCCGTCCAGTCTGCGTACCAAACACTACCTAAAGGGTCTGGTTTGCTCACCACCGCTCCACCCCCTATCCCATTCAGACTCCAATCTTTTCCCACACTGCCCTTTCTCTCTAACATACTGTTCAAACCCTCGATTCTCTCCTCAAACTCTCGATTACTCTCTGTTTTTCTCTCGATTCTCTCAAACTCCCGATTTTGGTAGCCCTTTCCTTCACGAACGCACCATCGATCTCGCCGTTTCTTCACCACACCAGACACATCTGCATCCCCTGCCTTTGCCGATTCATAGAGGTCAAACCCTTTTTCCCCCAAATTTGCACCTGTGATTTACTGATGTTCAAAATGCAACCTTTTTTTCTTATGTTTGGAACTTCCCAAAATAAATGTGAACATCTGCCTGTTTTTTTCTTATGTTTGCAACTTTTTTCTTATGTATAGCATGCATTTTGAGAAAACGAGTTTATTTGATAAGCACCTCTTTGTTTGGCAATGAGTACATAAGCAAGATATACAGTGTGTCCACAAGAATGCAGTGTGGCAATAGGGCCATATAGAATGAAAAATAAACTGAAAATTGAGGCCCAATTTGAGCATAGATCTCCTGCAGCAGAGGGAAGATGTCATCTAAATCAATAGGGCCATAAAGAGTAGTCCACAAGAATGCAACCTAATATAATAGGGTATTTGGTGTTTTAGACAACTTGATTACTGGATCTTGGCTTCCAGAGCAATTAGTACATATATGGTGATAAGATCTCACAGTTCTGTTTTTGGGGTTGATGAGTTGCAAAATGACATTAATGGTGGCATCTTAAGTGTCCTTACTGTAGTTCAAGTTACAAAATTAAGTAGATTTTTGTGTGTTATAAGCCATGTTGCCATCAACCAACTTGTAGACATGTAATGTTTGAATTCAGAATTGTAAGAGATTTGTTATATGTGGTCATTTGTTAGGATTTCAATCTTGATGTGCTATATGTCATCATTTGTAAGGTATGGACATTGTAAATTAAAATGCTTAGAACTAGATGTTGTACCCAAAATGTTGTGTTTGAACTTGCATTTCATGTGATGTTTTGTTATGCCAAAACTTGAGCAACCATTGTTATGTTTGTTTGGATTGATATGATATCATGTATTGGCTTGGACCATTAATTATTTCCTATTTTTCATTTAGATTTTTCCTTTAGATCTTCTGTCAAACGTTAATTTTCATTAAACCCAAGACTGGGGGAAAATGGTAATTTTATGTCATTCAGACTGTTGGTTCAGGACAGTTTCCAAACAATCATTTTTTATTTGACACTAAATCATACAGAGTCTCTTAAACATTCTGCACTAAATCATCCGGTATCTGCCAAACAGCCCCTCACTCTCGTTCTCGTCTGCAATGCTCTGATTAGGCTATTCCAAAGGACGAAAACCAGGTAAGTAATTGAATTTAAAAATTGAAATCATGACTCTAGGATTTTCATTTTGGTGTTTTGATCGAGATTACATAGTACATAATTGCAAATTTGCTTTGAATTTTTTATTTGAGTTTAGTTCACCGTATTAGATTGACAGTACATACTTGGCTTGTTGCTACTTGCAATTGTGTTTTGATTCCTGCCTTTTTAGTCTTGGTTTTAGAGCAGCACACAAGCCTTAGCCATCTTTGACTATTAAACTATATAGTTCCAACATCAAGAATCGGAACTAGAAATTTCAATACCTTATTAGAAGGCAACTCAACTTTGAATGATTGTGTTGTGTTCTTTTGATACACTATGGTAATAACAACTCATAATAAAGCTTTAAATGCTTTGAACTTTTGTGTTCTTCTGCTGCAGCTAATAAAGCTGCTGTAGTAGAGAGTTTTTATAGACTATCGAACTAGACAGGATCCATGACATGCTATAATGTGTAGTTAATGCCTTAGAAAAGCAATTAGCAAATGCTGCCATCTACATAAAATCAACCTGGGTTCAAATCCTGCCTTCTAGACAAGGGGATGATAACCTGGATTCAAATCCTGCCATCTACTTATGCGCTTGTGTGCCATCGGGAGATTTACCTCAGGGCTGTGGGCGAAGCCTACAGTTGCGATTTGCCGTGGAATTAGTCTCTGGGATCACTATTTCCAAAAGAAAACAATTAGCAAATTCTGAAAGCACATGTAAACCACCTGTGTTGTGTGTACACAAGTATAGATGGATCATTTCTCAAGTTCAAGTTGTAGAACCATCACATCGGTGAATGTTCAACTTGAATGCAAACTTGTAGATATGTGCATCCTTAGCAATGCTAGAACAAAAATCTCAATACCCAGGCAAGAAAAGTTGATTGCCTTAAATGCAAGCAACACAATAAAATACATCATATGGTTTTGAATGTTTTTAATTGGTTAATGGTTCTTAACATATTCACTTTTCCCTTGGTGCCTAAATATTAATTCATAAATCCTTGCTGATTCTTCATAGATTGGAGGATGTCAAATTTGCAAGTTCAGGATTTTGGGTTCTAAAGGAATCTCAAACTTTGGTGTATTGGCTATTCAAATAAGGTAAGAGACCCAAACTAATTGTTGGTTTTTTGTGAACAATGCTAATCTTAGTTGACTTAGGGTTTCCTAAGCTCGGAAATAAGCTTATACCTCTTTCGGTCAGTGGTGCATTCACTTAAAGCAAAAGTTGAATGAATACACCATAAGTGGGCAGGTCCCCTCATATTCTGATGTAAAGTAAAAACGGGCCTTTTTGATCCAATCCATTTGGATGTGGGCAGCATGTAATACTTACTTTCATGGTCTGGTGGTTATGAAATGTTAATCCCTAACACCAAACTTCTTGATTATTAGGTGATGTATGTCTGGAAAGACCAGTAATTTATAAACACAATGGATCTCAAACCTTTTAGACTTGACATTGATGAGCTTATCAATGAGTTCGCGGAGGTATTCCCAACAACTTCCCTTCCAATTACTGTCTTTGTTATTTAGTATGGACTAGTATTCATTTTGATTAGCTTTAATTACCTTTTATAATTTAAAATTTTATTGGTTTTATCATTATTTCAGGGTGAAATGACTATGTTGGCTGATATGAAGAGGATATGGCTTTCTAAAAAGTTCTCCTGCATATTTGAGGCTAAGCCTACCACAAAATTGGGATTTTTTATGCAATCTCTGTATACCCATTGCTTAGGTATCCCCCAAATTTGAACCTGATCATTTATCCTTAATTTGTTAGTGTTATTTGTGTGTATGTTTGTGTGCTGGTTTAAGTTTCTATATATCTTAGATCTTGTATGTGGTGTCAATTTATATGAAATTATCATATCTTTTGTTGTTTTTCACCCTTGAGGAAATGATGAAGCACTCCTAGGATCCTATATACTTCCCATGTAGTTGATATATCCAATTTGTTTTTCATCATCTTGTTGAACATATCAATACTCATGGAAGCAACCACTCTACTCCTTGGGTTAGAGATTAGGTCTGCGTACATCTTACCCTCTTTAGACTCCACCTCAGATGGGATATACTGGGTTCGTCTGTTTTGGTTCACTAAACATATCAATACTTATATACAGTCCCTTTTATTTACAAACCACCTAATTAATACAAGCCATACAAACCATTCTCAACCGTCCATCTAGTCTAATGAATATCTGTATATGTTCTTCTGCAGGTTACATGACGTCTACTGCTTCTATATCACACAGGCTGGGTGGTCTTTATTGTCTCTACTGCCTACATGAAACGCAACCATTTAAGCCTCCGTTCAAAATCTACTTATGCACACGTATGTTATTACCTCCATTTGAATTTGTTGCTCTATGTTAATCTTGAGAACACACACACACAATGGCAGATCTAACCATGGACAAGTTGGTCTTGGTGCCAAAGCCAACTGCCATGAAGCTTCTTATACTGTGTTAACAGGGTTATTTAGGAAAACAACCTTCTGACAATTTTTTAAATGCATGACCTTTTGACAAATTTTGAGGCATTTTGTGCTAGGAAGAGACATTCTTCTGTTAGGTAGCGAGGTTCTTAAATCTGCCAGAAGATTATTCTCCTAAAAAGAACCCATGTTTGCATGTGTTTATTGAACATCATACACATACACTGATACACATACATGACCTGTTATCATTTTGGGGGTCAGCATTTAATGTTTAGGGACCGTTTACGAACGCTAACCAAGTTAGTTTACCCGGTAAAATTCTTGGCAATCAAAATGGCATCGGTAAGCGCTAACCGGGCAAGAGTCACCACCCTCACTTACCAGCCTACCAGGTAAGATGCTCGGTCCTTGCCATGCCTTTACCGGGTAAGATTCTCAGTCCTTCCCATGCTTGCTTGGTAAGGTAAGTGACTTGGTAAGTGCTTACCCGGTTAGCGTTTGGTAAAATGGCCCCTTTCCATGGTTTGTATTTGATTTGTATGGTTTGCAACCTTTCCATGGTTTGTATATGATTTGTCCTATATATATATTTATATAATTATGTTTTACTTCTTATTTGGCAGGGGAAATTAAGAGGCTCAAGGAACTGGTTATTGATGCAAAGAAAGAGAAGATAGGAATTGTGCATACTTTAGTCAATAGCATGCTAGAAAGGAACTTGTTTCTTTATGGGGCTATCGACTTGAAGGAAGGATCCGTGGAAGAGAGGGTGAATGAACTAACAGATATACAGAATGCCCGTGTTCAACATGCGAATAAAAAGTAAATCTTTTTAAGTCCCTTTTTGCTCTTATTTCCAATTGCATTGTTGCTCTGCATATGCAATTGTAAAATATAAGCCGGCTGATAAACTAGTCACTTTTGGTAAAAACTAGCTGATAAGCTCTATGACCTAAAAGGAAAATATAAGGGCATGAGTGAGAGAAAGTGAAAGAAAGCTCAAATAAGCTATCTGAAGTAGTTTTTAAAAAAGTGTATACGAGCTGTTATTTGAGCAAAAGGTTGATTACCGGCAACCCAACCCCACATGGATTTTACCCCTAGGAATCACATCTGAGGAGACATTTCAGAGCTGATTCTGAGGCTAGCGAAGGGGTTCAAGCCATCTCCCTCATGATTCGAACTTGAACGTGCTTTGTATTTGAGCAAAGTCTCCCAGCCCCTTTGCCAATTGAGCTACACGCCCCGCGGGGGGGGGGGGGGGGGGGGGCATATACGAGCTCCTGTTAGGTTTTAACTCCGTTCCTTTTTCTGGAACAGGTTATTTGCGGACACACAGATTGAACGTTACATTCACATGGACATGGTGAGTGTACAAAGTAAACTCTTGCTTGCAATATTTAAATGTATACACACACTGACTCATCTAGTTATGCTTCTGATCCAGGGCAAAGAACTTGACCTTGATTCACTCAAGGAAATGTCAAGAGATTATTGCATGGCCAAAGAGATAGCCTTCAAAGGTTCACTCGCATTTCGATATTATCTTGCACAACTTAAATCTTATTAGTTCCTCTATCCATGAAATAGTTTGAAGTTTCAGGTTAAACTGATTAATATTCAACCTTATAACTGATAATCTGATATGAAAACATGAAATTTTGATAAAATTTCAGTCATATTTAGAATCTGAAAAGCCAACTTTTTGCTGAAAATCCAGCTAGGTGTTGGCTGATAAGCTAGGTGGGACTTCAAAGGAAGATATAAGGGGCATAATTGGAAATAAGTGAAAGAAGTCCCAATAAGCTATCTGAAGTAGTTGTGGAAAAAGCTAGTTTATGACTTACCAAACAGGGTTTTTCAATAAGCTCAAAAATTAAGATAGCTTATGGTTGCCAAATCTCGACACAAATTCACTTAGGGGCCGTTTGGTTTGATGGGATGGTTTTGAGGGATTTGGGTTTCGTGGAGGATTTGGATTTAGAATCTTTAGATTTTAAGAAGTTGCAGGTTTGACCTCGAAAGTAAATACGCAAGCCTTTTGGGAATTGACAGAGACCCATTACAAATGTCATAGTTCATAGCACAAATCCTGCTAGATTTTAAATCTAAAATTATATGTTCGACCACTAAAGTCGAAACACAGATCTCTGTTGAAAACTGATGTTAGATTTTTTTGCTTTGGTGATGTTAAAGAAGCTGAAAATGTGATAGATACACAAGATATCAAGCACATTGCAGAGAATCAGACGTTGATTGGAGATGTAGTCGGGAAAACAACCGAAGATTGGAATGTTCAGAAAGAAACATTCTATCAGAAAACGAGACTTAACCAACGGCCGTCTGAAAACTCGAGCTTTGAGCAACAAAACAACAATGGGAACATTGATGCAATTGAGTTCAATGTGGAAGATGATGCATATGCAGAAAAAGATGACAATTTCTGTGATGAGCTAGAGCAACAACTACTATCTTTGACAGAGTCCTGAGTTGCACATTTTGCATAAATGGTTGTACAAAGCATCTCCTTTCATCATGAAAATAGGTCAAATTGTTATGATATAGTTTGTAACTGTGGTAAGTAGGGTTCTACATGGACTAGTGATTATACGTAAAATATGAGATATTTCTCGAACAAGATAGATAAAAGCAATAGTAAACCACAAGGGTGGTGCCTGATTGGTTTGAGCTTGGTTCCAAAGGTCAAAAGTACCAGGAGGTTCCAGGTTCAAATCCATGGAGGAATAAAAATCCTCTTATAGCGACAAAGGTTCAAATGCGGTGACTCCGGGCTATCTGTAAAGCAGATGGTCGTCCTGAGATTAGTCGGCTCGTATAGCGGGTTGAATGTTCAGGATAATAATAATAAAAAGATTTGATTTCATGTTTGGTTTGTAGGATTGTTTGGATTTGAAATCCCAAAATTTCATTGAAATCTCACAAAAATGAGATTTAGAAATCACATGGGGGTTGTTGGTATTAAGTGGGATTTTGTAGGATTTGTGTATAATAATGTTTTAAAAATGTTGAAAACATTTGTTTTATAATAATCAATTAATAAAAAGATAATTTAATTATCTTTTATAATTATTTGTGATTTATTTTTACAAATTATATAAAAAAAATGAAACAGTTATATTATAAATCCTACAAACCAAACACATCAAAGATTCAAAATTCTTTTAAATCCAAATCGTTCCATGAAATCAAAATCCCTCAAAACTATTTCATCAAACCAAATGCCTCATAAAGAAATAAAGGGTAAATCTGTCATTAGAGTTAGTTGATGGCTAGAACCAACTTAGCTTAGGAGTCGTTTGTTCAACGCTTACTTGGTAAGTGTTTACCGAATTTTACCGGATAAGAGCGATGAGAAGGACGGAGATTCTTACCCGGTAAGTGAAGATTCGACTCTTACCCGGTAAGTCAAGATTACGACTCTTACTCGGTAAGTGAAGATTACGACTCTTACCCAGATAAGCGCTTGCCCGGTAAATTGTTGCATTCAATACGTTTTGATGTACTAAAATCTTACTCTATCAAAATAAACTATAGTGTTGACTCCTATAAGTAAGCATTTGGAAAAACAACCCCCAAGTAATTGACACGTTTAGTATATCATCAATGATTGCAACCCATGGGACAAGTTATAGCTTTCATTATAATAAGCTCCTCAATTTTACCTTAACACACAAATGGATCTAAATAAGCTCTTAAAACTAGATGAGGTTAACACTTAACGTGAAGTTCTAATGAAACCCGGTTCCAAAATTGTCCTTTGATGCTCTCTTTTCCTTCTGGATGATGAATAATATGCAAAAACGGTTTCCAAAGAGCTTTTATACATTGAAGGATATGAAATCGTCGAAAAGGATGTTAGTGGTCAAATTCTGGGCGAGCAGGTGCTTCCCACGACCTAGCCCACGACCTTAGGTCGCCACTACGATCGCCCATGTCTTTGGTCTTTGAAGTCACACTCTTTTTCTTGCCTAAATCGCATCCACACCCCCATCATAGTTCCGCAATGTGAGATAGAGAGTTGAAAAACCTAGCCTGCAACCTCAAGTCACGGCTATGATTGCCTCGCACAAATAGAGAACCCCACGAGATTCCTCTTTACTCCGAGTCGCTCGGGTCACTATTTTGTTTTGAACTCTTCTTTTTTCGTGATTATGCCTAGACACATTAAGGGGGTATAATAGGCGTGTAATCATCCTAAAACGAGCGCCTTGACCTGATAATTTGTCTGCAAATAAGAAATTATCAAAATAACTTGTTTATCCCTTGTGGTAGATGTTAGGATTGAATTTTAGAGTTAAATTGTATTCGTCTTGAAAGTCTATAATTGTAATATTAGCGTGTTTGACTTTGTAAGAGTTGTTGACTTTGACTAGAGGGTTCAATGTTTGACCCTATAAATACTTTGTCTTCTAGTGTAATTGGTAGGAGAAGAGCTCATTTGTAATATACGTAAACTTAGAGAGATTTATAAGAGTTTGACCAGTTTGACTTTTCCTCACTACTCCTCTCAAAGTGTTCTTGATGATTTTATGAAGCTTGCCATGGATTCTTAGTCGATACTGAAGATTGATTGTATTGTGGGACCCACTGTAGAGAAATTGTTTGCACACGCCCAATCCTTTTCAAATTCTATTTCTGAGTGAGATATATTAGGTTTCATTTCTGATGCCATATGTTCGGTTTATTCATGGAGAAAATGTTAAATGTGATATAATTATAGAAATAAACGTGTTTATAAATCATATTATTTGAATATATAACTGATAACATATTATTACTAAATTGTAAATAACTTTCATTTTGTTAGAAAATAATATAACATGATTGATAAACTCAAACGACTGTCTAGTGTTCAATCCCGTATGACATCTGATATAATATTAAAGCTATGGAAAAACTTGTAATGGATTAAACATTAAGCGCTTGTAGTGAGAATAATAGATCTGATATAGCATTAAGCGCTTTAAGATATTGAACACTAGATCAGTCATATCAATAAACTGACACGAGTGGTCTAGTGTTCAGTTTTTGATGTCATATTATTACTGGATTGTAAATATTTTTTATCTTAGAATTGATGTTTACGAGTCAAAACATTAAAATTAAATGTTTAGTAGACAGAAACAATATTTTATTAAATGTATAAATATATTAATAATATTACCTTTTTTTTTATTAACCTGGATATCCAACCCGCCATACGAGCCGACTAATTTCAGGGCAACCACCTGTTTTGCAGATAGTCCGGAGTCACCGCATTTGAACCTCCGTGGCCACAAATGGATTTTTATTTCTCCTTGGATTTGAACCTGGAACCTCCTGATACTTTTGACATTTGGAGCCAAGCTCAAACCAATTAGGCACCACCCTTATGGTTATCAATATCTAAAACGAAGAAAGTGTTGAAATTAAATGTAGTTTATTTTAGAATTTCTAAATTTTGAATTTCAATTTTGGAAAATTTTCAGAGAATATGTTAAAGACGTTTAAAAATACTAGAAGTCTACTTGCGCAATGCAATGCAATGCAGTTCTGAAATCTAGAATTCAAACCTTCAATCATGATTTATATGTTGTTCTTTTGATTGTCTTTCTCTATTATTATTACGGTTTTGAGAAAGTTAGAGATAAGTTAGAGGCCGTTTGCTGAATGCTTACCGCTAAGAATCAACACAGTTACTTAAACTTATTGGGTAAGATTTTAGTCCATTAAAATGACATCATATGCAACAATTTATCAGGTAAGACTCTCAGTCATTGTCATCGCTCTTATCGGTTAATATCTCAATCATTTGTCATGCTCATCCGATAAGATAACGCGACCCAGAAAACACTTATAAAGTAAGTGTGCAGTAAACAACATATTAATTACTATTTTATCATAAATATATATAAATATAAGCTTCAAATTAAAGATTATAAATATTTAATTTTCTAGTTTAATTTATTTGATTTAAGTTTTATTATAATTTAGATTTAAAATAAAAATGTGTTTTTATTTTAATTTATTTATGATTTTTTTATAAAAATAATGATAGAGTATTTTGTTAGAGCTCAACGATCGTTTAATTTAAATAAAAAATTAAAAAGAGAGTATATTTTAACAAAAAATAAATAAAAACGAAATGTTTCATTTTATAGTTTTTTTGTGTGTTCATCGATTATGTAGGAGTTGTTTGTTTAACTCTTAATAGTTTCATTAAGAAGCAACATCTGAATTGTTAAGAGGTGAATCTTGTTTGTTAAAAAAAATATCTATCTCTTAATGGTTCTAAAATGCTCTGAATGATTTTGTATTCTAGACCATCCTTAACCATTCAACGCCTTAATTTCATTGTAAACAATTATATTTCATTTTGCTGTATATCATAAGAGCATCTTAATCATTCTAACCACTAAATCATAATGGTACCAAACCATTCAACAACTATCAAAAAATCATTTAGTTAGTTATATGAAGATTTTAAAATTTTAAATATTTTAAAAAATAAAAATAAAAATTTTATTTTATAATATTTATCTGTAATTAATTATAAGAATTTGAAAAGCTTTTATAGGTCGTAGTAATTAAAATAACACGAGTAAAAAAAGGTGACTTTTTCCATGCATTATTCAGTTGTACGGTACAAGTAGTAGCGTCAAAAAAATGACAGCTGGCTTTTTGTTGGGCCGGGCCTTATGATTGGGCTGCAAGTCATTTTCCAACATCTAGAAGCTGAGAATGTGTTTGGACGAATTTACCCTAGAAATATCTCCTTACACCCATTTTCCTTCGTCCACAAGAAGAGGGGTAGTTTGGTCTTCTTATCTATCGATGCTTTAGCCTCTCCGCCTATATAAGGCCGCAGCTACAAAAACTAGGGTATAAAAAGCAGATCTCATTCTCCCTCTGCACCAAAAGCTTTGAACCTCAACGAGCGGAAAGAAGTGAGTTCCGTTATCTGTAGATCACTATGGAAACTCGTTTGATTTGATGATGGATGATTTCTGTCTTTATACTGTATATGAACCTTGAATTTGTGTGTATTTTGAAGATTCTCGTGCAAAATCATGTGTTACTTGCTGTTTGTTTCGTATTTTGAATTTCATTTCGTTTGATTCAAGTATTGGATTCCTCGCGTTGATGATTGTGTGATGCATCAGGCTAATTGTCGATTTTAGATTCAAAATCTATGTCGTTTGATGTTTTTTGTGAAGACGATTGCTGGATTGTGTGTGTGTGTGTTTGAATGTTTTTTTTCTGATTTTGTGCAGCATGATATTTCGTTGAAAGGTTTGTGTATGACTGTATGGAATGGTTTTGTGATGGTTTTTGGTTAAATCCGGGATCTAAATGGCTTGTACATAACATGCATCTTCATTTTAGGCTATTATATTAGTTAGTGATTTGGTAGGTTTGTAGTTTATTACTGACGATTATTTTCGAATTTAACAGGTTTTTCATTGAGAATACGAATGGCTACATTTGAGTTGTACCGTAGGTCCACAATTGGAATGTGTCTGACTGAAACCTTGGATGAGATGGTGTCAAGTGGGGTTCTCGGCCCTGAATATGCTATCCAAGTACTTGTTCAATTTGATAAGGTTTTATCTGAGAACTCCGTAGTGTTTCCAAATATATTATGTATCCTGCATATTGTTGATTAGTTTGCAGATGATCACTCCTTGTTTCATTGGTTGCAGTCAATGGCTGAAGCACTGGACAATCAGGTTAAGACCAAAGTGTCCATCAAGGTAAATAGTTTCTATCTGTTTGCCTTAATAGAAATTTAATTGTTTAGATTGGTCATTGATAAAAAAAAGCTTCTGATGTTGTTGTATGATTATATTATAAGGAATTTGGAACGCTTCATGCGAGTCACAATGCTCACCACTGTTATGAACTAACTGTGCATGAGATAAATTCCAACATTAGGTAGATCCGTAGATGCATTAATCTAAAACACTGATCTAAAAAGCATTAAGTGGAGCTATGCAGTTAAGTGACTTTCCATGGATTAAGTTGATGCAATAAGACGTTCATTTTAATATGTAAAATATAAGTTTTTTTAGATTATGCAGATACATGAGAATTTAAAATTTGATGCTACATTATTTTATACAATTACTTTATAAGTGACTCAAGCAAGATTTCTGAACAAAGCCTAAAAGTTATGGTCGTATCTGTTATACGTGGTATACTAGTGTGCATCCAGTGTGCAATTTTTTGTATATAAGCCACGATGGGGAGCGGGGACTCGTACTCGCATACATTAGTTTTGTATTTGACATGGTGAGCACATGAGTAATTTTAGATATCTTCAGTTCTGAGTTTGCAACCAAAATTTTCTGCTATTTGCACAAGGTAATCTGTTCTCTTATGCCAAGAATCAGGATGATGCTTGTTTGTTAAATTTCAATGGTTTTCTGTTTTCATTTTTTTTAATATTGCAAATTGCACTTTGTGTTCAGAGTTCAATATATGAAAGCTTAACCAAAATATTGTTTTGGAACATTGTGTTTCATATTATTGAACAGGAAAAAATCACCAATCCTTGCACAATATTTGGTTTGGTTGTCTCCTAAATACGAGTTTAGGGTTGCACTTTGGATACAAGGACCCCAAAGTGCACATCTCACAGCACAAAGTTGGGTAATTGTGGATCAGATATTATGTAGAGGTTATTGATAGTTTAAACCTTGCTTTTATTAGCATATGGTAACAACTATTATGTATCTTCATTTGCTAACATTGAGAAAGTGCGAATGACCATATAAGTTGTATATATTTGAACTTCCATATATGCCTTGCATTTGGTACGCGGAACAAGATGGACATGATATGACAACCAAAATTTGTTGTTCTACGTTTGGCATGACATTAGACTGGGACTGGTGGAACAAAAATTAGGGTGCCTACCTCACTCTTGCCAGTTCTGTCTGATTTAGCAAATGAAGATGCATACGCACCATGAAAACACTACCCTCTACAACAGAAGTAATAAACGAGCAATCTCAAGATTTCAATGGTACTTGTGCTGCTGTGCATGCACAGTTAGATATGACTAGGCTATCAACTAGCTTATCGGTTAAGAACCGAGCTTATTAGATAAGCCAACCGTTAAATTTTCAGCTAGTTGACCAAACATAGCCTAAGCTGGTGATTCTCTTAGCCTGAAACACCCTGCAGGCTGCAGTCACCGTTGCTGGTTTATTGAAAGGCAACTCCAGCCCACATGATGAACTACTGATAGGAGAGACCTAACCATTTGGTGAAAACCCAAATCTCAACCATCTCTAATAAGCTTTTACAAAATGACTGATATACCCTCTTGGGTGCGGATACTGATGTTTTCTTTTAACGTAAACAGGGGCATTTGCACACGTACAGATTCTGTGACAATGTCTGGACATTCATCCTCCAGGATGCTCTATTCAAGTATGATGAAAGCCAGGAAAATGTTGGCCGAGTTAAGATCGTGGCATGCGACTCCAAGCTGCTGGTCCAATAAGCATCCATCTGATCATGGTTACGAGATCCATCCGTCTCTTGTTTCTCTGCCGGTAAATCTTTAGCTTAGAACAAATATGGGGTTTGTTCCTCTGTTGTATGCTCATGAAACAGGGTGAACTCGAAACAATTTGCCCAGAAACTCGGTTGTTTCATTCTACTTTGATTTCGGTTTTTGGCCTCTTATAAAGTGATTGTTTGGTCCATTTTTGCCAAAAGAACTTGCATAAACGTGCTTTTAGGTCGTCGGCTGTGATTCGAACTTCGAGTGTTGCGACTTGAAATCATGATAATCGGTTTTGTGGTGTTAGATAAATCTGTTTCTAAAGCTAAAATAATTAGATTTTGTGAATTTTGTTAAAAGGTGGTAGACTGGTTGTGACGGTTAAGAATAGGGAAAAATGATAAAATACTCTTATTATATGAGACACTTAAAAGGAGTCATATAGCAGCTATATATTACGATCAATGAAGTTGCGATAGTAAAAAATATGGTAAAATGACCAAAATGCCCCTATGCGAGGGGCATGTAGGATACTTAATGGGAATCATTCGACAGTTGTTAAAGACAGACTGAAATCCATAAGAAAATCAGAATAATTGTAAATTTTAAATTGTAAGAATGAAATCTAGAGTTTCATTAGATTTTATTAAACCACATGGACGAAATAATGCGAGCCGTTCGTTTTCGTTAAACTAATTTGTTGTATGAGTGATGAGAGACCCATGGATTTGAAGAAGGTAAAGACAAAGGGTCATATCATTTGTCTCGAGCTGGATTCATTCTCGTACTAACAATTTACGAGTAACCACCGGAAAAAGTCTCGAGCTGGTGGCGTGGCGGGAATTCGCCCCAGGCATACCAGGTCATTTTAGATTTTTATTTGTTTGAGATGGCTTAATGGAACTATTTATGATATTAATTTATTTGAGGTGGCTTAATGGGGACAAATAATTGGTCTTGGTTTTATTCCATATGGTCATTTTAACTTAACGTAAAGAAACATTTTTGTATGACTGAAGGAATATAAATGGATTACTAGGGGTCGTTTACCAAACATTTACTCGGTAAGCGCTTACCGATAAAATTTAAGACTATCATTTCTTTATCGGGGTAGATTTTAGTCCATCAAAACGATATCGTATGCAAAAATTTACCCGGTAAGCGCTTACCATGGTAAGAGTTGTCGCCCTCACTTATTGGGTAAGACTTTTTGTCCTTGTCTCACTCTTAGCGGGTAAGATTCGTGGTCCTAACTATATTCATCCGGTAAGATAATATAACTTGGTGTTCACTTACCCAAATAAACGTTTAATAAAGAGACTCTAATTCACTCTATTTTTAATTTAAAGTTGAATAAACTGATCAACTTATAAAACCCTAATTAATTCCCCCTAAAGCCTCAAATTAAATCAATAGCTCATGCCAATATCACATGACGTGGCTCCCGTTACCCAATTACTTTCCATCTACACGTCACCCACCGTTGGATCTCTCATCCCATTCGTCACGCATCAAAAACTCTCCGTCCGTCACTCAGAATAGATTCTACCATCTGTCACCCTAGCAGACGCAAACCACCTCACATCACTAGTATTTTTTCACAGCTCCGCAACTCAAAATCAGCGAAACTTGATTCTTTTTGCTGTAACTTTTGCGGGTTTTGATCGGTTTGAATGGAGTCTTCGAGAATGGAGCCGTTTACCAAACACTTACTCGGTAAGTGTTTATCGACAAAAAGTAACATTATTATTTATTTACTGGGTAAGATTTTAGTCCATCAAAACGGCATCGTATGCAACAATTTACATGGTAATCACTTATCGTGGTAAGAGTAGTTGCCTTCACTTACCGTGCAAGACTCTTGGTTCTTGTTTTGCTCTTACCGGGTAAGATTCTTGGTTCTTACCATATTCATCCTATAATGTAATGTGATTTGGTAAACACTTACTCGGATAAGCATTTGGCAAACAGGTGAGTCTGAGTTTTATCTATTGTATGTTTTGATTAATTTTATGTAATTTAATTGAAATTTTTCCGCAAAGACGAAACCATAGAGAACATCATATGAGAAAGTTACACTTATAGTCCCTTAACACTAAAAGAACATGTGATTTTAATCCATTTATACAAGAAAATTACACTTTAGTCCCTCATCTTTGGAAGAAGAGGTTATGTTCATCCGTTTATACAAAATGAATTAATTTAATTTGTATTTTCTTGATAACAAATTAAATGAAAAAAGTTAACAAAATGAATTATAGTTTAGGTTTTTACAACTTTTTTAAATTGTTTCACATATAAAGATTATATTCTATTAAATTAGGTTGTATAGTAAGGGTCGTTTACCAAACGTTTATCTGGGTAAGAGCTTATCAAATCACATTACTTTACCGGATGAATATGGTAAGAACTAAGAATTTTACCCAGTAAGAATGAGGCAAGGACAAGAGTCTTACCCGGTAAGTGAGAGTAATGACTCTTACCACAGTAAGCGTTTACCGGATAAATTGTTGCATACAATGTCGTTTTTGTGAACTAAAATCTTACCGGATAAGTAAATGATAGCGCTGAATTTCACTGGTAAGCCTTTACCGGTTAAGTGTTTGGTAAACGACCCCTAAGTATTCTATAGAAAACAATGTTGATTTATTATGTATGTTTGAATTGAGTTATTTTTAATATAGATTTAAATAATATAAACGTTAAATTAGAAAAAGAATGATTTAATTCAAATTATGAGGATACTTCAATTTTGAATTTTAAAAAATATATCACTTAAAATAATCCATTTGTACGGTGTCCTTTATAATTTTGGTATAATTGTTGTAATTTAATCACTAATTGTCTTTTAATATTAATTTTATTTAATTTAATATAAGTTCGATATAATTAATATTTCGAGGCTATCTACTTTCCATAATTTAGGGATTTAACTTATAGAGCTTCCACTCTGTTGAGGTTTTTATAAGAATCTGCACTGTGGGACAGTGGTTTTTATCCAATCTCACATTCTTATTAGAACCCAGGTGTTTGAACAATAACCCAAGTTCTGAATTCTGTTTTTGTTTTTTTGTTTTTTTATTTATAATCTTTATTGTTTCTTAACCATTTTTATTTTCTTTTTAATAAATCTACAAAACACATACTTTCAACCACAAACAAACAATGGAATGATGAGTGTTTGTTTGCTTTATTTGGGTTAGGAGCATGCTTGGACCAACAAGATTTAGCTACACTTTGCGGAAGTAGAATCATCTTGTATCGACTGACAACGGCTGGTGTCGTGGTGATGGCAATGCTTTTGTTCATTTGTGAGCTTAACAAAGTTGAGATTACTTAACCACAAGGGTGGTGCCTGATTGGTTTGAAAGCTCAAAAGTGTCAGGAGGTCTTAGGTTCAAATCTAAGGAGGAACAAAAATCCCTTTGTGGCCACAGAGATTCAAATGCGGTGACTCCGGGCTACGTGCAAAGCAGGTGGTCGCCCTGGGATTAGTTGGCTCGCATAGCGGGTTAGATATCCAGGTTAATCAAAAAAAAAGTTGAGATTACTCTCAAGGATTTAACTAGTTGGTTGGCACCTTAAGTTGCGGTATAAAGAAATCTTGAAGCGCCAAAGAGGATAGTAGATGTTAGAGAGGCTTAAAGTTTCACCTGAATGCTTATCCACGATTTATTTAAAGTACTTGGATGAATATTCTAACGTGAAGACATCAATTGAGAGAATAGACAATAAAAAGATAGAACAGACATCAAAATCTGATTTTTATGTGAATACAACAGACTTTGGGTGTGTAGACTCGGAATTAAGCAAGAAGCTTTTTCTCGATAAAATATTAGAAAAAGACGTTGGATGAACGCTATGCCTCCATCTTTCGTTAGCGGATGCTTGAAAAACCAGAGAAGAAAAAATAGAGGTTGCTGAGAAGCGAATAGAGAAGATAAGGCGGCCATCAGTGGCTGCAAATGAGAGTGGTGATCTCTATTAAGACTTCTTGTTTGTTCTTCAAAAGAGAGAACGACGAGATAGTAATTGGGAAGATTTTATGATTGAAACTATGCTATTTCATCGAAGAGGAAATAGAGAAAGGGCACTACAATACCTTGTTGGATCTTTATGTCTTCAACTCTGATATCTATTGATTTACACATCCATGTAATTACTTCGTTGATTTTTGTTCAGTGCATTTTATGCACCTTATTCCATTTAGTTTGTATTTGCATCTTGCATGTAGATAGTCATTTGCATCAAGTCTTGTTCGATTTTTAGTCATATGTTTTATATTCTTCGTTGGAAGGGTACTTTTGTATTTTGTGGTGTTTGTGCGAGTCTTCACATGTATTTCGTATTACAAATGTGGTGGTGGACGTCGAGGTAGTTTTGGAAGCTTTGGATCAACAATTGGGTAGACAACTGAAGAATGGAGCAAATGTTTTGGAGGCCTAAACTGAAGTACAAGAAAAGGGGAAAAAGGGGGAAGAAGTTGTACAAAGGAAAGAAGAAAGAAGCAACAAGGTCCTTGTACTTCAAAGAACAAATTCAACAAGGCCTGTGCCTAGTTTCAACAAGGTCGTGTAAGGCGCCTGGAAACTCCTCAAACGAGCTTTTCAAGGGTATTTTGGGCTTTCATGTGTTAGGTATAAAAGCAAACTTTCTAGGGATTTTGAAGGGAGGCCGATTATTTTCTCGAGAGTAGCCTCCTTTCCATTCTATCTCTTCTTCTTCCTTTCTCTTTATCTCCTAGATTAGGGTTTACCCTTCTTCTTCTCCGATAGATCTATGACTGTAGCATAGACTTAGACTTACTTTGCTTGTGTCTAATGCATAACTCGTTCATTCCCTACGTTTTAGATACGAGATTTCAAAATGAGATGAAAGCTCCTTTGATTCTTACTTCAGAAAAGTCGTTTTTGTATCTTTTTACCTTATCTATTTAATCCATGTTTTTGTCCATCTTTGTTCCTTTTGCATCTCCTCATTTTTCTACTCATATATGCTTCATGTAATTTCTGCATTGTTCTTAATTAATTTACTGCTTTCTTAGGTTTAGAATTAATTCTTGGAGAGTGACACTCCTTGGATCGATTCTTGTAGTTTTCTTCGATTAATTGTACTGCTTTCGTTGGATTTATGTTGACGTTTCATAGTGTAGTCTAGCTTCATTTGATTGGGGCTTGTTGTCTTGGATTAAAAATCTTAGGA